TCTTTCTCCAGCTTGTTCTTCAATATGCTCAGGCTGGTTAGACAGGCGTTGGCGAAGAGACTTTTGCCAGCCTCGGAGTCCTCGAAATTATCCAAGGAGTGTTGCAAGGCATAAACCTCTCTCTGTGCAGCCTTCAAGGACTTTTTCAAGTCCTTCTGGCCATCGCGCAGCCTCTTCTTCTCCTCCTTAAGGAGGTCAATGTCGCTGGCCTGGGCGCCTACTTCCTTCTCCAGCTCCTCCTTCTGGTTCTCTAACAGGGCCACCTTCTCCACCAGGCCTTTGCGTTCCTCCTCGTACTCGGCTCGCATCTGCGGCGCTCGTCCTCCAAGGCGCCCTGGAGCCGCGATACTTCCATGGCCGCCTTCAGCTGGGCGTCTTCGCACTCCTTCACCAGCTGTTCGTGGCGCATGGCCGCCGTGTCCAAATCGTCCTTGAGGGCGGACGCGGAGGAAGAGGCAGCTAGTGCCTCCTGTTTGGACTCGAGTAGGCGCCTGCCGCCCCTCTCCGCAAAAAGCAGTATCTGCAGATAACAAGTCAAATTGTCAGTACCCGCAAAAAGAAGTGTCTGCATAAGGTTAGCAATTGAGGCACACGCCTTGGCGCCCACTTGGGCCAGCTCCGAGAAGAGGTGATCCTATTCACCTCTGAAGACACCTGCCACATTTTGGCCGCCGTCATCGCCAACCCCATTGCGCAACCCCAGTCGACGGCAGATAAGGGTGAGCAAGGAAGATCGATGCGCCCAAGCTTAGTGCGACGCGGCCGCAACACAGGCGGGCGCCCATCAGGGCCCACAAATAGTCCCTCCTCGTCCAGGTGAACCTGGGCGCCTTGATCTGCGCCCGGGCCCGAGGCAGTTGCCTTTCCCTTCCCTCGGTCAGCTTTTTTGTGCGCACGAGGTAAGGGAGAGCCTGCCCTCTTCTCTCGCCGAACCAAGAAAGGCTCCTCTTCCTCGGACTCTTCGTCGGGAATTAAGGGGTCAAAGTCGGGCGCCCCCTCCTGCTCCTCTGCGGGTGAGGAAGACGCCACGCTGGTCGTCTTAGCATGAGTGGGCGCCTTCAGGGACGTCGCGACGGTCTTTGTTTTTACAACCCTTTTTATTTTGGGCTGGAGGAGGCGGCGCCTGAGATTGGGCAGCAGCAAAAGCAGGCGCCTTCGTTGGGGCAGTGGCAGGCGCCCCAGCGGCAATCGCGGCAAGCCGGCTCTTCATTAACTTAGCGATGGTGGAGAAGTCTGATCCTGCACAAGAGCATAATAGTAAGCACAGACAACGAAAGATAAGAAAAAAGCAGTCATTATCAGGCGCCCACACACCATCATTGTATATGCCTCCAAAATAGGAGCATGGTTAGCGGTGGGGCGCAAGTTCACGCGAGTGGCACTAATTAAGAGGGCGCCTATGGCTTCATCCTCCGATAGGTCAACCCCCGAGTTAAAGGCTTCAACGATGCCCAGCTCCCACTCCCTCACAAAGGGACCCCCACTCTCAAAGAAAGAGTCCTGGTAAGCCTTCATAAAGAAGAACCCGTTAAACCAACTCCTCCCCAGCTTTGGGCACTTGGTTACGAAGTGGTAAGGGAGCCTCTTTCGCCTCTGAAGCGACAGACAGTTGTCGAGTGGCGCAACAGTAAAAAAATACCGAAACAGGTTGAAAGTGGGCTTCATGTTGTGCAATCGTCACTTTAGTTTGAACAGCACCACCACAACCATAACAGACGGAGAAAGGCGCCAAGCAAGCACCCGCATGTCTTCAGGATTACCTCCAAAATGGGATCAATCGCAAATCGCAACCCAAAACGGAAGTACTCTTGATAGACCCCGGTCCATTTGGGGCCGCATACACCAACTCGGGAGATAGCCGAGGGAGGCGCATACCACCAATCGCGCGGAAACTGGAGGCTTGTTACTAGCTCGTGGACGCGCGCCAGCGTTACAATAGACTGATGATCTGGGCCGGCCACGTCAAAAGGCAAAGCGGACGTCTCAACTGGCACGTAGTCGGGAGGGAAAGACTTCTCCCACGTCGTGATCTTATATGACCCATCCGCGGGCATGAAGCCCGGAGTGGAGGCGCTTGAAGGTCCAGCAGAGGCAGGTTCGGGCGCCCTCTCTAAACCAAAAATCGAACCAGGCGCACAACCGGGACACGGGGTAAGCGACGCCCACGCCTAAATGTTGAAAGAAAAGGAAACCAAAAAGGAAGAAGCTTAGTGAAATTACTTACCAGACTGAGCATGGCGATCAGAAGGGCCTGCACCATGAACACCTGCATTAGAGGCGCCTGCACCATGAGCACCTGCACTTGAGGCGCCTGCATCAGCAGTCTTGTCCTGAGGGGATGCAATGAACGTTGCGCGAAGAGAGAAGGGTCTTGGCGACGTAAAAGCAGCTAGAGAGAGGTCAGAGCAAAAAAAATTTAGAGAGAGGTCAGAGCAAGCAACTTAGAGGGAGATATATTTGTGGAAAATGACAGGACTAAGGGAGGCGAGAGTATTTAAAGGGGGGAGGGGCGCGCCTCGGAGCCTGCGCCACCTGCCACGTGTCAACATCACGGGCGGGCTTTTAATCTTTCCCCCACCTTTTTTGAAATTTCGAAATATTTTTTGAATTAAAAAAAAACCCGCCCGTGAGGGGGGAAAGGGGGCACCGAGTAGATGCGAGGGGCCGGAGCGCCTCCTGGTACATGCACGAGCCTGGAAGCAACCTAGGCGCCCATACGTGAAAGGGAACGAAGCGGTTCAAACGAGCACTGGGCGCCCTCGAGAGGGGGGCATGAATCCTAGCAGGTGGCCTAATCTGCAGGCGCCCGGACAAATGAATAAGATAGAGGTGAAGAGTTCATGCGCCGAGAACCTGGGCACTGTTGGAAAGTCAAACGCCCGCCTATAAATCGCGACGTAAACAAGTCATCGGACCAGGGAATATAGTTAGGCACTCAATGAAGGGGCATGAGCGCCTAACTGAGGGGCAATTGTTGGGGGTATAGCTAAGAAGGCCCAAAGAGAGGCCCATCGAAGCCCCAATGGGCCAAAAATGGGCCCAGGCAGACACACAACGGGGAAGGCCCATAGGTGGGCCTGCCATGACAGGGTGAGGGGCACATAAGGACAAAGCGCTGCAGACCAAGGAAGTCCAGTATGTCAAGTGGTCCTCCCCTGCAGGCGCCTGACAGACGCCAGAGGCCTGACAAAACAGTTGGAGCGTCTGACAGAGGTACGTTGCATTAAATGTAACGATGACGTGGAGGAGATCAGCCTCGAAGTCGGATGAGTATAAATAGGGGCAGTTGCTAGCATTTACACAGGTTGGACTCTCTCACTAAACTCTTTCTCTAGAAGCACTTCTCTCTCTAAGACACTGACTTGATCGTCGGAGGGCTAACGGGCCCGGGCGCCCCCCTCTGTGTTCGTGTATGTAGGTAGGCGCAAGTCAGAAGGAACGTGGGCGTGTTGGCGAGGCGTCGAGGCTCAAACAATACCATACATAGTTTTTCAAAATAAAGTTTTTCATTCTAAACTTAGGTAAAATTATTTTTTCATTTCATATTGGGAATTTAAAAAATATAAAAGTCACTAGATATTATGTAGTTTAAGAAAATTATAAAAATTGAAACATGAAGGTCACTTGAACACTAAGTTCTTTAACAAAATTAAAAAATTAAATATAAAAAATAAAATCAACATAATGTCAATATTAATAATGAAGAATTAATAATTGAGATCATGAAAAATATTAATATAATATATAAATTAAAATTTTGGTTAATTTACCTATTCGATAAAATTATCAATTAAATATAAATAAAGTAAAGTAATGTATTTGATAAATTGATGTTTTTAAAAGAAGAGGAAAATTTTGGTGTATTCAACTTTTTCGGAAGAGAAAGAAAAGGGAAATTTGATTCTTTGAATTTTTTAGAAAAAACAAGTGAAAATTTTGTTGATTTTGATTTGTGGGAAGAGAAAGAAGTGATAAAGTTTGGTTCTTTTGACTATGAAAGAGAAATAAGGTGTGAAATTTGAGTTTTCAACTTTTTGTGGAAAAAATGAAAGAAGAGGTAATTTTTTTTTCCAATTTTATGGCAGAGAAAGAGGAGGGAAAATTGAGTGTTTCTAATTTATGGAAGGAGAAAGAAAGAGGGAAATTTTAGTTGTTTTTTTTTTTGTGAAAATAAAGAATGAAACAAATTTGGTGTTTACAACTTTTTGGTTTTTCAAAATTTTAGCCCTTGAAATATGAATCTTTAATTTTTAGGGTGTGCCTATGGTGACTTGCACTTTCCGGTCGACCTCAGTTAGGATTATGTCGACCTCATTTAGAATTCGGTCGACCTCATATAGGATTCGGTCGACCTAATCTGTTGTTTCAGTGTAAAATAAGTTCATGGTGCCTACTTTGGATATTCATATCATACAATTGGCTAGATGGAAATTGAAGACTAATGACTTGTTTTGAAGCTGGAGTGTCCCTCTACATATTGAAGTGGAAGAGAGCTCGATAGGAAGTCCAGAAGACCATTTTTGAACCTCATCAAAAGGCTATGCCAAAACTGGGAAACTGCCTGGAAATGGCTAAGTCTGAAAACGTGTTTGTGAAGCTTATTTTGGAGCTCAATTCGAGAAGCATGAATGCGAGTCGAGTCCAGGAGCCTCTACCACGTTAAATCATGTATGTTTTTATACAAAGGCAATGCATTAGATGAAAGATTGGATATCTAAAAGGCTTCAAACAAAAGGCTCGAAGTTTCTACGAAGACTGTTTTTCTGGCAGAAAGTTTATAGAGCATATTAATCGGCCAACGGTCCGAGTAAAAGCTAGTAACGATTATTGTGAGATGCTCATTTCCCGAAAATCGGCCCGGTCCCGAACGGTTTTTTACCTCAAATTTAAGCCCAGAGATTGGATTGAATTGTTTACTATTCGGTCCGATCCGATCTCATTCCCGGTTATAGGGTCCGGTTTCGGGTAAAACCAAAAAACCCTGATCAAATAGCCAGCCATTACATTAGCAAATTTTATACCTTACCTTCCTCCGGCCACACTAGTTGATAATTGTAAGTAGAAATAATGGAAGGAAGGGGGGGCAGCGGGTATTAAATAATAATAATAATAATAATAATAATAAAAAAGGAGCAAGGCAGTTATTGTTAATGAATGAATTTCTGGAAAAAGGATATTGCTGCTGGGACGGGTGTGTGTGGGCGGGTTTAGCTTTTTAGGTACAAAAAGACACCACTAGCAAAGCTATAGGCTAGGGTAGAGAAATATCTTTACTTTCTTCTGTTCCTTTACCCCAAAGCATTCAATTCTCCTTAATCCACTCAACACCACCAGCACCAGCGGCAGCAAAATGAAAAGCCCCCATGATGATGATCATCAGGTGCTAGCTCGCCTCTTCTGCAAAACCCACACCCGCCCAGCTCTGCCATTTTGCATATATAAAATAAACCCAACCAACCAACCTTCTCATAGTCATCTGGTCATCATATCTCCATCTTCCAACAGCAACCAACAAAACCCTACCCATCCACAGCTTTTGCTCACTTCCCCTTCGCCCATTCAATAACCTGTTTCTACTTCTACTAGCTAGCCATTTTGTGAGTGTGAGTGTGATTATCATCATTCAACCTTTATTTTGTATAAATTAAGCAAGCAGCAAGTCATTCCATATATTTATGTGAGAGTAGGTGCATGGTAATGGTAGACAACTGATCAAGGTTGTCAACCCACGGGTCGACCCGCGGGTTGACCCACTTTGTCCCTGATCCGGTGAGGAAAACGGGTCGCACGCACCCGCCAGGTCGACCTTGGGTTGGAGTCAAATTGTGTCATTTTTTTCTTTGTTTTGCGAAATTCGCCTATTTTCTGATTTTTCTTTTCGCCTAACTCAATCTTTGGAATCCTAAGTTGAACATTTGAATATTAATGTTATATAAGTGTGTGTGAATTTTCACTATATGTTGAATCTAAGTACGGAATTTTATTTTGGTGTATTATTATATGTTATAACTCATATGTTAGATGAGATTTGATATAATTTATCAGGATAAGTACAATACAATGACGCTATCCATATTTCCGGGCTAAACCGGACTAAAACGGGTGACCCATTAACCCTTAACCCACTGGATCAACCGGATCCGGGTCAATCCGCGGATTGACAACCTTGCAACTGATTCATCAATCCCATAGTAACCTAAACAAATGTACGAATTAAATTAGGGCGTGTTTCATATAAAAATTTTTTTCCCTTTATTGTTCTTTGCAAGTTTGGTCGAGGTGCTCATTTGAGCAAATTAAGGAACTTGAGAAATTGTGCCACCGATCAGTCGTACAGTAAAAATCCACCACCACCTCCACCTCCACCTCCACAGCCACACAGCAACTGAACTCAAGAGAGACGAGAGATTTTTGCTCCACCATAACTATATTTTATTATTATTATATTCATTTTATTAAGAGAACAGACAAACAGAGAGCAGGCAGAGCAGAGTAGAACAGAACCCCAAAAAGGCTACCCAGTTCTTCTCATCTCTAATTAAACAGCTAGCCACAGCCTCACCCACTCCTCCCTAATCACTAAAAGAAAGTATGATTATCTATATATATAATTATATATAACATGACATATCACACTAGAGTCTAGAGAAAGCGAAAACAAAGCGACCTAACTAACTAACACATGACGTCCTTAAGTAGCTTGTATCTCCGAGTTGAAGGCTTGGGAGATGGCAGCCCGCCGTGATTCCTCGCCGCCGGCGACGGCCTCGTCCCATCATCCCTGCTTGTACTTTCCTCCTCCTGCTGCTGCTGCTTTATCTTCAGCCCGGAGTAGTGGGATCGGCTACCGCCGTCCAGCGATTTCCTCCAAGGCGCCGCCCTCCTCTCCTCGCTCCGGCACCAATCGCACTGCTCCACCGCCTCCGAAAACTGGTTGTAGTAGTTGCTGCAGTACCTGATAATAACCCACCGCCCACCCACATCAATTCACAACAACAACAACAACAACAACAACAGAAGAAGAAAACATCGATCGGAATATCAGAATACTGAAACGCCGTACGAGTGCTGGAAACGGTGGCGGCATTTGTGGCAGCGGAACAGCTTCTCCGAGAACCCCACATCGCCGCACATGCAGCACACCACTACTGCCGCCGCCTGCAAATCATTATCATCTTCATCATCCACCATTTTTCTTCTTCTTCTTGGTGTTAAAAGAGATGAACGAGAACGACACGTACGGGGGAAATTAAAGGGAGAGAAAACAGACAGAAATCAGAGAGAGGGGGAGAGAGAAAAAGGAGGGCAAGAAAGAAAGCAGCAGGCAAATCGCATAGGGAGTCTCTCTCACTTTATTATGTATTGCCTTTCTCTTCTTTTTCCCCCCTCTACCCAATGGAAAGAAATTAAATATAAATATATATTAAGGGAGGAAATTAATACGTTCATTTTTTTCTTTTCTTTTTTGGTAATAACGTTCATTTTTTTCTGAATATTTATTTCACTATCGGTTTGTAAATCCCACGAAGGAAATGCTTTTATGAACTGATTAGCTATAATGATCCAAATTTTAGGAGAGCCCCAAGAACAAATCAAGAAAAATAAATTAAATGAAAAAAAGGTAGCACAACACAGGTACACCACAAGTTACTTGCAGTCGCTTTCAGTTGGGGTTGGGGTTGGGGTGAGCCCAATCAATAATTCTAAACTGGTTTAGGCCCACTCTCTCTCTATATATATATACGAACCTTAAGAAATTAGATAGGAAAATGACAGTTGCATCCCGGCTGTGCCATCCTCTTTTACGAAACTCTACTTTTTACCATTTTCCGTTTTATGAGTTAATTGTCAAAATATAGTTTTTTTCTTCTTCTTTATCATAGTCGTTTTAAAAGTATTGACATGGATATTGTTTTTTTGGGTTAATTGCAAGTTTGGTCACTAGGTTTACTAAAAACGTTCATGTTTGATCACTAGAAATATTTAATTTCATTCGTGGTCCCTAGAATTAGTTAAACATTCCAAGTTTGGTCACTCTCTCTGTCCAACTCCTTTAACTTCGACTGACATGGCAGTTAAATTTCATAGTTGACCGTTAAATATGTGACGTGGCAATTAAAAATAAATAATAAAATTTAATCATTTAAACTTTCCACCTCATTTTCACAGCTATTCAAAAATAAAAATTAATTTTATATAATTTAAAACAATAAGTTTTTCTCCCGATTGTGTTCTCCCACCATGAATCCCGTCCTCCGATCTGGGTCAGTCGCACAGCCGAAGAACGACCGGTCTCTTTCAGCACCATCTTTTCTTCTCCTTCCCTCTTTTATATATCATAAATCCTGCTCAAATCCCATCCCATCCCATCCTAAACCCAATTCCACAATTTCCAAATACGATCCTTCCCCCTAGTTAACCATTCAAAAATCCATGTCGACGCCGTCGACGCAGCTTATTCGGGGCATCCCCGACAACCTCAGCAGCGATTTCCTCTCTCGCTGATGTGATAAAATCGAAAAAGAATAGCGGCCTTTCTTCTATCCGACATCCACCCGATGGAAACAAACCAGATGACAGAAGCAATCCACTACCAGCCAATAACCATAGATCCTCCCACCTACTTGCACCTTCCCCAATCCAAGATAAACTCCCATTTTCACATCACACAGGTCAACAAAAGAAGCAAAGAGTAGATTTATACTCTCCGAAGAAACCATAAATCAAACCCATTCCCCCGCAGCTTGCATCATCACCAGCCACGATCTCATCCACTAGCGTCGCTGCCGCAGCACAGTCATCCCTCTGCATATCATCAACACCATCCCCTTCTGATTCACTGCAGCAGTAGCTCAACAATCCACTACCAGGCGGCTTTCAGCAAAACCCCAAACACAAGAGCATCCTCCATAAGCACCCACTCTACACCCCGCTCCTCCACAACAACGTCTCCTTCCCAAATAAAAAAGAAAGTCCTCTGCCTCAAAATCATGGGTGTCGACTATGGGAAAGCCCTCTGCCAAAACCCGTCTCTCCACACCGCCACCGTAGACTTCATCAATGTCGTCGTCTCGTTCCGATCAGCCACGCTCGTTCTTCGGCGGTGCGACTGACCCAGATCGGAGGATGGTATTCGTGGTGGGAGCCGGGAGGATACGACCGGGAGATTTTTTTTTAATTTTAGAAAATTAAGTTTTATCTTTTAATAGTTGTGAAAATGAGGTGGAAAGTTTATAGATTAAATTTTATATTTAATTTATTTTCAAATTGCCACATCACATATTTAACGGTCAACTATGAGAGTTGACTGCCACGTCAGTCAAAGTTAACGGAGTTGGACGGAGAGTGGCCAAACTTGAAATCTTTAAGTAATTCTAGTGACCATGAATGAAATTAAATATTTCTAGTGACCTAACGTGAACGTTTTTAGTAAATCTAGTGACTAAACTTGCAATTAACCCATTTTTTTTGGAGAGGGACAATGAAGTCGCCTTACACTCAGGCGAATCCGTTTTTTGAGATTTTTAGTTTGGATTATGCGGACCCGCTCGAGTATGAGGTGAATGTGTTGAACGATCTGTGAGGCACTTGAGACTCGAGTGGACGCGCCTTCCCCTCCTTTTTTTTTATTTCCCCGCCCCTTCTTATCTTTTTCTTCTCCAAACAAACCACCACCACCCGCATCTCCTACCTCCTTCCAGCAACGGACCCGCCTGACCTCTAGCGCACACGTCGAAGACAAAGGCGGCTTCGCCTCCACCTCAAGAGGACCCGTCGGAGACAGGGCCCCATTCGCCTCAGTCCCAAGCGGACCCGCCACCGGCAATTTTCTTGTTCCCTCGCGTGGAGACTTGCAGATCTGGTTTGTTTTGGTTTCGGCAGAAGGATGTCCGACACCGACAAGGAAGCAGCCGCCGACAGAGGAAGGGGGAGAGGGCGGCAAGCAGCTCACGGCGGCGGTGGCCGGTATCGAGGTGAGGATTTCACCGGTGGCAAGATTTATTATGTTTGATTTTTTGTTTTTTTTTTCCAGGTCCTAGACTTATGGACAGTTATTCCATGAGACTACCACCTATGAAAATTGATCATGCTCCAGTCAATTCCGTACTTCTTTGGGCACATGGTCAACATCGTGTCGACTCATTTTGGGCAAACGAGGTAAGTCTTTCATAACAACTACTTCTTTAAAGTTCATTAGCTAGTTAGATAAGACTATTATAGATTTTTACTAGGTGAACTGAACTGAAATTAGAATAGAATTACGTATTAATTTTTTTTGAAATTAGTATAAGTTTACTTTAGATGGATATTTAGATTAGATAAATTTAACTAGGTGAACTGAAATTAGAATTACACATGAAACTGAATTAATATAAGTTTGTGCACTATAGGATGGTGATCGAGTTTACCATATTCGACGTACGACCTATATAGTCATGTACCATCCACATTATTAGACGTACCTCGTCGAAGCGGGCTTGATTAGTGTTATGGAATTGGTCCCTATGACTATTGATGCAAGTTTGATTACTCCACTCGTAGAGCGTTGGCGACCCAAGACATCGACCTTCCATTTGTCGTTTGGTGAGGTTACAATCACTTTAGAGGACGTTGTAACACTGACCGGTCTAGCGATCGACGATGATGTCGTCATAGTACACATACCAGATGAGGAGTGGTCAGAGACCTGTGCGAGATTGTTAGGACGGGTTCCTAATGATCTTTCCGGGGGCGGTGCCGTTAGGATTAGTTGGCTCAGGGGGAATTCAATAATATGCCGGCAAATGCATAACCCGAGACTACAGAGCAGTTTGCACGAGCATATGCTCTATCTTTAATGGGAGGTGTACTGTTCCCCTATCGGACTGGAGCTACGGTTCATCTACAGTACCTACTCTTGGTGGAGGATTGGCAGAGAGTTGGACGGTTTGCCTGGGGAGCAGCTGTTTTAGATACCTGTATTGCACTCGTAGAGCGTTGGCGACCCAAGACATCGACCTTCCATTTGCCGTTTGGTGAGGTTACAATCACTTTAGAGGATGTTGTAACACTGACCGGTCTAGCGATCGACGATGATGCAATCATAGTAGACATACCTATTGAGGAGTGGTCGGATACCTGTGTGAGATTGTTAGGACGGGTTCCTAATGATCTTTCCAGGGGCGGTGCCGTTAGGATTAGTTGGCTCAGGGGGGATTCAATAATCTGCCGGCAAATGCATCACCCGAGACTATAGAGCAATTTGCACAAGCATATGCTCTATCTCTAATGGGAGGTGTACTGTTCCCCTATCGGACTGGAGCTACGGTTCATCTACAGTACCTACTCTTGGTGGAGGATTGGCAGAGAGTTGGACAGTTTGCCTGGGGAGCAGCTGTTTTAGCTACATGTACCATGAGATGGGTAGGTCATAGGGCTGGCTATTTGGTCCTAGTTTTTTGGTTTTACCCGAAATCAGACCCTATAACCCGGACCGAGACCGGGCCGGGACCGAATAGTAAACAATCCAATCCAATTTTTGGGCTTAGATTTGAGGTAAAAAACCATTTGGGACCGGATCAAAAACTGGATAAAGACCGGATAAGAGAGTTCAACACCCAAAATTTAAGAGTAATTAGCATAAACGGTCACAAACATTTGCACTTAGTACAAATCTTAACCAACTCCTCACCCTTTCAAGCCTTAGGCCACTCAAATCCCCACAAGCTCAATATAAAATTAAGATCGAATTGGGACCAGACTGGGTCAAGACCGGAATGTATCCAATCCAATCTTTGGTCCTTATATTTTTGAAAAAACCGGACTGGACTGGATCAATTTGGGCAAATTTAACCGGATCGGACCGTATAGCCACCCCTAGTAGGTCAGTTTTGCACATGACACACTCCTTTTCCCTAGGAGGTGACCTTGGTGGATGGCTCCCCTTACTACAGCTCTGGCGTGGGAGCGATTTACACGTTTAGCACCACAAAATACAGAGTCGAGGGCATAGATTACCGAGGACTAATTCCCACGTGGTGTTCGATGATTTTCAACCAACATCCGTCAGCACGTCGACCAGTTCTACCAGTACAAGTTGTGATTTGACGAGATGTCAACCATCGTGGTTAGTATATAACATTTCGTTTTATAGAATAGTTTTCATTGGTTTGTTTTAGAAGCTTTGTACGGACGAATGGAAATTGTTTCAATTTTTGCTCGATATACATATATTCCCTTCGATCTCCATGAAATGACTCTTTTCCCCAGCTCAATGATGCAAGTGTAGTAATGCATCAAATTAATAATTTCTCGATATGTTTAGGATCGTATTTCTCAAGGTCTTCTAATAACAACTACTCATAAGTAATCACTTATGATCAAATAAAGACATAACAATAACAACAATCGAAGGGTTAAGGTTCTCTATGTTTAGTTCATTTTCGAGATAGGAATAGATAAATAAAACATAAAGTAAATGACAAGATAAGTAAAGGATACACATTTGTTAAGAAAGTTCATTCTAGATGATCATCCATCTCAATCCCAATAATAACATACATCGATGCATCTTCTACTATGTTAATCTATCCCTTCCACTAAAACATTCCTGATCGAGTTTTCGCCGCATGCATAAGTAACTACTACTAGCTAATGCGCACTTTCGCTTCATGTCCATAAACTAATCTATGAAACAAAGAAGTAAGGATATCACATTAATAGATCTAGAAAATTACAACCCGACCCATTGACCTGACCCAAAGCCACCTGAAAAATAGGGATTTGTATAAACCAAAACCAGAATGACCCGAACCTGATTAACCCGTGTTTTTTGTGTCGGGGTGGGTGGGTTAGTGGGTTGACCCGTTCTATTTCATATGTTACTCCCAAAATGATAAAATCACTCATAAATTGGTGAGATGTTTAAAACAATATAATTCACAAGAATTTGGAAGACATGTTTGGAGTTTAAGAATAATTAAATATCATGTGTTTCTTATAGTAGTATTACTCTTGTAATTGTTTTTTGATGATTTGTGCAATTTGTATTTCATTTCATTAGCATGGGATGATTTGAGAAGGAATTAATTGACATGTGTTAGGTAAACTATTCCCATGCATATTTGAAAATTTGTGTTCTTTAAAAAAATATGAAGTATGTTTGATAGTGTTTCTGAGTGTGCACATAACCCGAAACGACCCGTAACCCGATTTGAAATCTGATGGGTTGGGTCAATATTTGACCCAAAATCAGCCACCCAACATGACCCGACCCATAATCCGAGACCTCAACCCAACCCGATTGTCAGGTTTAACATTAACTACTTAAGGTATTTATCAACCATTGCAATGCTTTATAGCATTTATGATCTATGGTACAAGCATTTAACTCATACAAGCATGAATGATTGATCATTGCACTCCATACATGCATAAGACAATAACACATCACATAAGAGTCGTTTCCTAAAAACTTATCATTACATTAAAAACAATACTATTGTTTACCCATAAAATTAACCTTGTACCACATCGGTTAAAAACAAGGAATGAAATGGTTTTATAAGACCAACTTAATTATAACAATTAAAATCAATTAAGATGGGCCACGTGGATTGGAATTTTGGGCCCATGGCACCATGCCAAAGCCACTCTACACGGCACTCTTGTCATCTATTCCAAAATTTAGCTAAGTGTTGAAGCCACCCCCAGGACGTGGCAAGGGGAGGACGTGGTAAGGGGGATGGTCACCATACGTCCCCCTAGGACGTGGTAAGGGAGTGGCCACCATACGTCCGCCCCCAGTAGGTACCGAGTGGGATGGCCACCATACTGGGGCGGGTACCATACTGCCACCCCTAGGACATAGTGAGGGGGTGAGAGGTCATGGAGTGAAATATGACTAAGTATGGAGAATGATGGTACCCCATGGTGTGATCCTAGAGTGAGGAGGAGGGTGGTATGGCGGAGTTGGATGGTCGAATTCGGCCAAGGCAAGGGGCCCCATGCTATGATTACCATACCCCTTAGTGTGGTGAGTTGGGTTGAAAATTTGGTTAAGTATGGAAGATTATGAGGATGGCAAAGAGCAACCCCTTTGAGGTGGTCAGGGGGCCACCAACATACCAACCCCCTGTGTTATGATCAGGAGGTGAGGATCGGGGGAGGGGGTCACCCCCTAGTATGACGAGAACCAGTGAAATTTGGCTAAGTATAACCCCCTTGAGGATGAAATTTGGCCAAGTATGTCGCTCTCGTAGTGGTGAACTATTTTTGCTATTTTTACTATGTGATCCCAATACCCACCCACGTGTAGCAAGGGGGTCTTCACGCCTTCTTCATTTTTCTCAACTGGCATAACTATTAAGGTGAGGGGGCCAAGACTGAAGAAGATACAACCACCAATGGCAGGGCATAATCGAAGCAATTGAGAGGGTAACCACCACTCCACGCCAGCAGAGCAGTTTCTCGAGGCAGTTACTTCTGGTGGCTATAAATAGGAGGTGAAGATTACGAAGAAAGGCTTCGCAAAAATCACAACTCGACACCACTTGTCAAGTTTTATCTTTTTCTCATTTCCTCTGCAACTTTAGCCATAGTCGTAGTTTTGGAGCTCTCACTGAACCTCCATAGAAGTAGGGCTAATTTAATGTAGATTTGCCTCGTAGTTCATCAAAACATTGAACACCAGTGTTTGAACTTTGTTCAAAGAGGTTTGAACTGTTTTTGTTAATCGTTTGTTTGGAAGTCAAAGGTGCATTCAATTCTGTTCCACCTAAATTTTCTCGTCGGGAAAACAACTATAGTAGCACATAATGTATTATATAAGCATCGAATGGTCTAAATATCACGATAAGTTGAAAATTTAAAGAATCTTTCATGGCGCTATGCATAATATAGAACCTATCCAGATTTCATGATTCGTTAGAACTATAGCTGAAAAGGTATTAAAAATAGTAGAGGAATGAAGAATGTTGATGGTAAAGAGGCTATACGGTTATTTAGGAGTACCTATATGTTTAATTTCAACAAAAATATATAAAGAAAGCCCTAATTATAATGTTAATAATGTTTATGATGTTATTTAGGAGTACCTATATGTTTAATTTCAACAAAAATATATAAAGAAAGCCCTAATTATAATGTTAATAATGTTTATGATGGATGCTCAATTTCTATTTTTCCCGCAATTGAATAATTTGACTTTCTTTATGGTAAAAACTAATTAACTAGCTTGCTATTTTATAAAATTGATACTATCATTTCTTGAATTGCATGACATTGACATATAATCATTGCAAGGATATAATAGGAGATTAATGAAATGTGAACTTTGAACCTTTGTCAATTACTATAATCATAATTCATATTGCAACCGCCAACGGGCCGGGTACAATCAATTGATTGAAATTGGCGTTTGTTAAAACAATATATCTTTTAACAGTATCTTAATTTTTAAGTTAGGTCTAAAAACAATATAAGTCTGGTCTGCTAAGCTCTTTCCGGAGCATGGAGAAGAGGACAGAAACTTGAATCGGAAAAAGGCTGTGTTTAAGAAGAAAATGGAATCGATCATGAAGAAGCAGCAGCACAAAGAAAACGAAGAGGATTAGAAACTGTAAGTGTAAGTACGCCCGTATGAAACCACGCCAATCGTTTTGTGTTCATGAGCTTATTGTTGAAAAAATATCAACACCACCGTCATAAAGCCAAAAAGAAAAAAACGCCGGGTAAATCATACTGAGATGCCAAAGTTGCTGATCTTCGTCACCTCCTTGGTCAATACATGCTTCTCTTTCTTCACCTCAGAAGTGAGGTCATTAACCTGGACGTGCCCAACACCCCAAATTAGATGCGCTCGACAATTACACAGAGCAACTTAAAAAGAATATAGATGCTCGGCCTTTTGCACTGGCCATGTGTAATTGAAATGAAGCCATGAGATTCTCAATTATCAGAATGCAACAGCGCGTCAATGTTGCATCCATCCATGATGACAACAGTTGTGCAGCATCGCAGCAAGATTGAAGGATACAGTAGCGAGCGTACTACTTTGAGTGTATACATACAGCTACTTACATGTGACAGAAACCGATATGCTTCTCTGCCTGGCAGTTCCCGGAGAACATCCTTCAAGCCTGATTAAAAAAATGCAACTAACTTTATAAAGGAAACACGAGATATGGGAACGGCGGCTAGAGGAAGTATCGGATACCTGCAGCTTGCCTTTCAATCTTATAGGCTGAACGAATCATACCCTGGATCCGCTTCCCTGCATCTCTGTACCATAAGATGAACAAAATTTAAGTTGTATGTTTTCTGAAAACAAAGAAAAGGAAAAAAAAAACCTTACTTGTTGCGCCCCATTTATATATAGTATTAGAAAGCAAACCTGAGTTTCACCCTTCCGTTAATGAACTGTTCTTCAGCTAGTGATGTTGTTCGCTGAAAGGAAGAATCGTGTTTCAAGTATTTTATCCAAAAAAGCAAATATTAAAGTTCAATAAGAGCTTAATCCATCAAAAGCTACTCAGTAAAATGCCAAGTCATGGTGGTTTAAGTGATTCAGAAATCTTCTACCAATTTATGTTTTTTCCCAGTTTGGCTATGTTTCCTTTATCTTGTTTACTTTATGGTGCAAAGAGGAAAGTGAAAGATGGCCTATGGGACAACTAAGCACTGAAACTGTGGTAAAGAAAATGGACCTAATGCAAATTTCCTATCTTGCAGTTAGATGTTGCTACCATCAGAAAATGGAACTTGATATATATAGTCATTAAACAAGCAAAACATTCAAATCCAAATTCCATTCACTGAAGCAGCAGACTAGATTAATGTTACATTGGAAAGTAACCCGTCAAAGAAATGCTTATTACCTCCAGTTTTTCACTCTCAGCCTTGAGGCGACTAATAGACTGGCGCAAGTCTTTTACTTTAGCATCAGCATGAGAAAGCAATGTCTGGATTCAGAAGGCACAAAGTTATGCCCAAAACTCGATAAGATAGACCTTCAGTGGGGTGACAAATGAGAACAACTAAGAGATAGTAGTGAAGTAGCACAAGTTACATACTTAATGGTATTGCCAATGGGTACAGCCAAAGACAAACCTTATAGGAAGGCAGAGGAATAGCCAATCAATGTACAGACTGAAGCGGTTAGGTACTAGCTAGAAACAGATAGGGTTTGACTTGCTTTCTGAGCTTTAGTGAAGTTACCAACGTAAATGGGAACTAATCATACCATTGCTATCAATTCTCAGTAGTGCAACTGATAGATAACTAACTAACAAGCTGCATAACAGTGGCCAGAGTTGTTAACTGGTAAGAACAGTGCTGTACAACTACAGGTCGATATTGTTGTCATTAGGTAATCGTTTTCTGATTCAAGATCAACCTAATTTAACTACTGAATCGGAACATGGTAAGTGCATTTTGACATTATGCCTAGTGGGTTGAGCAATCGCCAAGAACTGACAGTATCATACAGCTTTAGCTGCCAAGCTCACTACCAACATAAGAAAAAACGGAGAACGATGGTTCTCACCTCTTCGCTCGAAAAAAGGCGTACGCCTTTGTAGTAAATATATCGCCTTGGTCCTGCATTTGATGGATAAGAACGAACTCTTCGTCAATTCTAATTCCAGTTATTCAACACTGAGCAAGGGAGGAAAGCATCATTCAAGAGTCATACTCTTAAGCAGCACAAGCCCCAAGCCGGAAGTAACCCCAGTTGTGATAAGTGGATGTGAAGCTGCAATCTTAACACCCTCTGCGACGAAAATGTCCGAGACATGAACATCAATCCACCATTGAATCGCAGAAAGAAAAAGAAAAAACGAAAGCGGGAATTCCTCATCGACGGATTGAAAATGTACCGTTAAGCTTTGCAAACGCCAAGGCCTCGTAAACACCAAGCTCCGACACGGCAGATTGTATAGAGTACTGCATCATTAACCAATTGCGTCAATGTGAAATTCTCAAGAACCTGCTCTTATCCAGGAGAAAAAAAAAATCAGCAATTTTCCAATTCGGAACCAATTTTGAGGAGGTATTAGAGAGTACGATTGTCTGATCAAGGTGGGCGGAACCAGTGGAGCGAATTTCAGAGATGCGGGATCTGGAGGTTTCAATGAAAGCGTCGAGCTTCTCTTCTGCGATCTTTTGGTAACTTAGAGCTTGTTGCACGGCGCTGTCGATCCATGGAGTGGCTTCCGCTAGTGCTTTCGACGTGATTTCCGCCGGCATACTGCTGGGCGTCGATGGCCTGGATTTCTCCTCCGGCGATGTATCTGCGATGGTGCTCATAGTCATAGGGTTACGTTGTTGAACTCGTCTCAGGCAAGCTCTTGTTTACGTTTTTGACTCGTTGGAGGAAAAGTACTGGACTCTGATCGGTGGATGATTAAGCCCATGCGAATTCTTCTATAAACTTGTCTTTGTGTCCGGCCCATTGGCCGCGCTGTTTTTACATTCATAATCAATTATGAATCACAATGATTAAAAACTTTTCATTACCAAATGATGGCAATTAGGAAGGCAATGGCCGGGTTTGCCTACACCATTTATATCCCGTTTTCAAATATTCAGACTCATACCCGCACTATACTCATGTGGGAAGATTTTGTAAAACCATACTCGTGGGTTTTGGATACCTATGGGTAAAACACACTCCGTACATCCAACATTATCATATCTAAGTTTTACATGTAAATTTTCAATTATAACATTAAACGCACCTAGTATATCATGAAGTTGACAAAGGGACAATCATTCTTAACACGATTCAAAGCATATTATCCTAAAACATTAATTAATCCATAAGATAGAGTATAATATAATCCAAATCATTATTTAATGACTCTAATACATCTACTAAGTAATAACTAACATAATCTTGTTAACATGAGGAAAAAGTGAAAGAGTAAAGGGATTGAGTCAGTGGCGGTCGGCTACTCGTGGTCATGGTTTAAATGTCACCCCTAATGACAACTAAACTACATTCGAACATGACTAAGTTTAAATCTGGCTCATTTCGTTCATTCCCCTATAATTAAGGTGGCTAAATTTCTTTTGAATAATGGTATTCGGACCTAGATTAGGGAACCAGATCATTAAAGTAGAGAGATGGCATATGGAAAGTAGAGAGTTAAGAGTTCATAGAGAGGATCAAATATATGGTGAATGTGTGGTAAGGGAAGAGAGGATTCACTAGGTTGACTCGCTTGAGTCTGGGGCTTTTTTCTTGAGATGTCTAAGGTGAGGTGCCTTATAATAATCTGGAGCGCTCAAGTGATTTAGTCATTTTTGGTATTAGGCTTAGGCATATAATACAATATTCCAACATTTGCTCCTTTACTTCTTATATCTTGTATTGGAAGGAGTAATCATAATGAATTATTTTGTATTCAGTTGTCTTACATGTGAGTCCAAAAATTGCGCCTTTTCCCTTTACGCGAGCTGCAAGTTGATTGATTTGTCATTTGTGTTGATTTCGTGTGAGTCGTTAAGTTTGTGTTGTTGTTAGCCTTTTGTTGTCAGTTAGGGATGACAATTTCGATCTAACCCGTTTCACCCGATCTGTTTGGTCTGTTTTGGGCGGGTCCGTAGATGGGGTGGGGCGTGCATGGGTACTCTCATCGTCCCGACATGCCCTAACCCGCCTCCTTCTCGACCCATTCTTGCCTAAATTACTTGTAATCTTAGTCAAATTACTTATAATCTTAGTCAAATTACTTAGAATTTTCCTTTTATTACATAATATTTTAGCTATAATAAAATTGTAAATTAGTGAAAACCTCAATTTCCCCAATAATTTAACTGCATTTATCATAATATTGTTTGTTTTCTTGGTCTTACAATAAAAATTATGAATATTTCTAATGTTTTTCATATAAATGGCATACCCATTGAGTCGACCTGCACCGACTCACGACCCGTAATAAATTACCCGACTTGTACCCAACCTACCACGAAGCGGGTCTGGGTACCAAGAAACCCGCCACGAACCTACCCATTGACATTCCTATTGTCAGCGCTAATACGTCTTAACTATTAGATGTGTATGCTCGAGCCTCGAGCTGTTGGGTTGTATGATGGGCGTAAGCTATTGGCATGTTAGAGCTAATTTGTCGGCTAAATTTTATGTGATTGGCAAAGAGGTCTTGGGCAAGATGTTGTGACTCCATCTTTTAATAGCGTTACGCTAATTTGATCTTCAAAATGCTAGCAAAGTCTTAAATTAAAAACTCACGTGTTGAGATTTCACTCACTAGCCTTATCTATTAGCACCAATAGGCTCTAACTGTTGGTTGTGTATACTCAAACTTTTGGACAACGTGATGGGCTTGAGTTGTAGGGTTGTTCAAACGGATTGGTTAGACTAACTCCAACCCAAAAGGTTATATTTAGCCTCTCAAGCTCTCAAATGTGCATTTTTACCTTTCAAAAACACATTTTTGCTCCAACCCTAAACCTTCTAAATTTACCTTCCCAACTCATAACCAACCAATCAAAAATTAAGAAAGTAAAAATAAAAATAAAAAAAAGATGTTGGAAAGTGGAGGGCCCCAGCGTGTGGGCTTGGGTTCCATGGTTTGTCCCCCACCTTCTCCTTGCATTTTTCCATATGAGCTTCTATCTATCCACCCCCAAGCCCACTTCTCCAAATTTGCAAGCCAAATAATTGGTGAGTTGGAGATGAAAAAAGCCAAAAACCTCCCTTTCTCCAAATTTGCATGCTTGGGTTGGAGATAGTCTTACCGTGGTAACCAACTAACCATATTAACCGGTAGCATTCGGTTAATTTGGTTTGGTTAATATGAATAATTGGTTTGGTTTGGTTAAACAATTTAGCTTATTTGGTTTAGGTGGTTTGGTTTGGTTTCAACACTGCTAACCAATGAAACCAATTAACCAATTAATGATACACCTAATATACGAAATCATTTATACTTCCATGCAACCAACCAAACCAAACTTTCGTGATTCCTTATTTTATCTTCATGCATAACAAACCAAAGCATTATGGGTAAAAAAATTAAATGGACTGCCTATTTACTAAATCAAAACATTTTGGACAGCTACTAAACTTTAGGATTACGTACAATACCATGACAACCACCTCAAACTATGTGTAGTTTAAGTGTTTTGTAGAAGAGTTTTAACTTCCTGATGAGTGATATTGGTATATATTTGATATTTATGTTAAGAGTTTGTTGTAAGCTAACTATATTAGGTGCAGAGATGATAAATGATATATTAACTCGAATGATGATGATAATCATGGATGATTAGTCTTATTATCATTGCTTATGATAATTGTTTATGATAGTTTATGATGGTAATAACATATGATTATGTTTTATTGAGTTGTTGCCTTGTTGGTATATTAACGCTAGTTGTTGACTTACTATTAGGCCTTAACTATGTGTTATACAAGAGTGGTCCCACAAATTGAGAGTTTTTAACTTGAGATAATTTAATGTTGTGAAGATTAAATGTACCCATGACATATGTGAATGTCATGAGTCCCCAATATATTTAGAGTGTATGGCTGGGACTAAACTACACACTCCCAATTGAAGGTCAAGTATCACCAACGATCGGGTGTAGTATAGGATAAGCAAAGTAATAAAATTATCGAACCACGGGTCTCTAGATGTACCGTTACTTCAATTTAAGTTTTTTATATAATCAAACAAGAATAGTGATTAATAAACTAAGCTACTCTAACCACTTAATTACAAGGTTGGGAGATCACTTAGGCACGAACCCCCTAGCTTCTTAATTGGACCGATGCTGAGTACTAGCCTAGATTGATCGACTCGATATTTTCATCACAGATGCTTCTAGACTAGGTTGGACCCCCCTATTCGAGTGCATCCAACCCTGCTCAATTGCTCTACCCTAAGAGGCGTACCGTATAACATGTGTAGGCAATTGAGTTGCTCACAACCAATTCCAACTATTATAGATTCTATCACACTCATTCAAAGATCTATAGTGAGTGATTGAAAGCGCTCTATTCAACCTAAGGGGATATTCTCCCTCCTAGGTCAAAAGTTCAATTGACATATAGTGAGATCAAGACTCATGCAATTCATCATAAATATCAATCAAATAGATAATAGGAGTAGTCAAACATAGGATTTGTCACATACATCAACATCAAACCAAAATCAAGAACTAGGGTTCATCTGCCTTAGTGAAGAAAAGTTGATTCATAGAGAAGAATGGAGAGAATCCAATATAAGCTTATAATCTTCAATCTTCATCTGCTAGGGGATGTTCTTCAACCTTCAATGGTGATTTGATCGTCCAAAATAGCTCCTAGAGCACTCATAGGTCACTATCGCTATCTAGAACCGCCCCTTCGGTGTTTGGAGTAAAAAAAATCTAGTTCCCCTTACTCAAAACCCATTGTTATAAATTTATACCTGTAGCAGCGCAAGAATAACGATTTTGGTGTGTACTCCAAGGCCGTGAGCAGTGCAAAACGTGATCTCATATGAAAACTCAGGCTCAACTTTTTGTATGCTAAATATAAGATATGTTAGAGAAAAATAATAATTATTTCTAGACAAAATACATGTGCATGTGTATAATCGGGCGGTTCGGGTTGGATAGTGAGAAAACCATACCCACCCAATATTCGCAATATTCAGGCTCGGGTTTTATCCTTCCCGATTAGGTCGAATATCCACGGTTACAGATATTTTTGTCATTCCTAAATATTTGTTTTTATATTTAAAATGTTATATTTTTATTTAATATAAATATATATTATAAGTAAATTATCTTCAAATATGTTTTTATATATACTTAAACTCAATTGAATTATATGAATCGCTAAACCGGCGTAACAGTACTATAAACTGGTTTCAGACGCTTTCACTACAAAAAGTACCAAAGCTTTTAACAAGGAAAATAGGGGCGGAAAAAAAACAGTGAAGACTGCATTTGGGATCACAGACCAAAGCAGAGAAAAGAAGGAAGTAGTAGAAGAAGAAGGGAGCCGTTGAAATAGGGAGACAAAAGCTCGCAGGATCCGGCGTCCGCTCTGCAATATGACAGATTCAAGTTTGGAACTGCAGGAATCAGGTTGGGAAGAGCTGAGGCGAGAGGCTCGTAAGATCGAGGGAGATCTCGACGTCAAGCTCTCTTCTTATGCTAAGCTAGGCGCCCGCTTCACCCAAGCAGGTAATCGCCCTTCTACTTTCCTTGTTTCAGTTGCATCAGTTTTCCAAATTATGTGACCTATTGTAACTGCCTTAATGCGTTTCCACTCTTTGGTTATGGCGGATTGCAATGCAATCGCTTGGCATTACTGGATCCACTAAATTCTGGGCCTTCAATTGGTTCCTGGAAAATAATTGTTGTGATTCCCTGTTTATAGAGTCGCGAACAGAAAGTGAAAATGGGGGTTTTTGCCTAGTTTAAGTTCTAGATCAATTGGCTTGGGTTGAACTGAAATTCAGCAGGATGGTCCGTTATATTTCACTGCAGCGGCTCTCCGACAATTGATCTTTTGATTCTGTGCCATTTTATTCCGATTACATTGACTATATGGATCATAGGACTGGAAGCAGAATACTAAATCTAGAAAGGGCTAGGATTCCTACATGAAAAAAGAGCTAGGATCCGAATTTCACTTATCACTCAACAACATTCACATGACCAGAAGGCTCATTTGGCAATATTTTTAAATAGGATATCTGATCTGGGTCCTTTCTATTATACTCACCAACTGGATAAAGTCACGTTCTTGAATCGCTGTGCTGTTGCTTCCCATTTGGAGGCTTACTTCACGCACTTGAATGGTCCCAATATTGGGGATTAGCATATTGCTGCTTCATGGATTTGCTCTGTTCGACATGGCTGGAAGCGTAATGCTTCTGCTACTTCTGTTAGTTCTTTGACTTTTGAGTTATTTTTTAAGTTGGTGCTTCTAGAGAAACTAGATGTGCGTAATTAGCTAGATTGCTGTGATGTTCCTCTGATCTTTGGTGATTCTTTTCTGTAGTTGTTTGTGCTCATGGTAACATTTCGGTTCAGGTAGTGTAGAGTCTAGTTCACCAACTGTTGGGTCAGGTAGATCATGGAAGTCTACGGAGATGGAAATCCAATCGCTCCTTGAGAAGCTATTAGATATTAATGATTCCATGAGTAGATGCGCAGCATCTGCAGCTTCAACTACTTCAGTGACCCAAAAGCTTGCAAGACATAGAGACATACTCCATGAGTGTACTCAGGTTGGCCATTCCTTTTCTGCCTCTTCTTGTTTCTGCTGTTTAGCTGCCTTTTTCTTAAAAGATGAACTACATTTGCAAGCCTAGAATGGAAAATTCACCTGATTCTTATTTCTTTGGTATCTCATTTTGAATTTTTGTACTGCTGCATTGTGTTCCCATCTATTTCAATAAGGACTAGCATATGAGTGTTATTATCTGGGCAGATACCATCTAAATGAATATTTACTTAGCTCTTGGAGAAACAGTTGTCACGTCGTTTTTATTAATATATCGCCGAGCACTGTTTCATGCTCTGTTCTTGGGTATTGGTTGTGTCTATAATAACTTGAGTGAACAATTTCCTCACCGAAATTTTTGTTGGTTATTGGTTGGGCTGTTTCATAGATTATATGATTTCTCAGATGCATTTTTTATCTTCTCCTTGTTTCTGAATCTGCTTGGATTTTGTGGATGACCACATCAAATTCTGCAATTGGTTTATATCTTCGGAAACTAAAGAGTCATTATTTCACTTTAGGAATTCAGACGAATCAAGGGAAACATTAACTCAATGAAGGAACATGCTGAATTACTTAGTTCAGTCAGAGAGGATATAAGCGAGTACAAGGTGAGATTAATAAAACATCTTCGTTGTTTTCTGGCTCTTCTAATCATTACGGAAAGAAATAAAAGCATCATCTGTTCTGAAAGTAGAGGTCTCCTTCCCTTTGTGCAGGCTTCTGGAAGCATGTCGCCAAGAATGCAACTATTACGTGAAAGAGCTGCCATACATGGAAACATTTCCCATGTAATGTGTGTTTTTTTTTTATTAATCACGGCTTAGAACGTGAACTCTCATAATTTACTGGGAAGTGTATGAATATTCTATCTGATTGTGAGCTACTGGGACAAAGGCTGTACACTAGCTGTGGTATGATTATCGTGCTGTGAAAGCACAAACTTGAGGGTGTGAATTTGTTTTCAGCCGTAATCAGCTACAGCTTCTTTGGACCTTCTAGCCGTCTACTGATTAACAAGGTTCTGTGCTCTCCTGTATGCAGATAGATGATGTTATTAGTCAAGCTCAGGCAACCAGAGCAGTCTTGGGGACTCAAAGGTCCATGTTTGGAGATGTTCAAGGGAAAGTGAAACTGCTAAGCGACAAATTCCCAATCATACGTGGTTTACTTGGTATTTTATCCATCTCCACGGATGAAGTTTCTCTATTTCTGGATACTAGTTCTGTCCTTTTTTCTTTTTGTTAACGCATTTACCCATTTCTTTCTCTTTGAAGGTTCTATCAGGAGGCGCCGTTCGAGAGACACTCTTATTCTCTCAGCTGTAATTGCCGCTTGTACATTGTTTCTCATCATCTATTGGCTCTCGAAATGAAGATTGCAAAATTCCCAAATGGTGGTTCGCTTGAAAGGAATTTTGCTTTAATTGGTAATTAGGAGCCGTAAGATCTTATGTATTGAAACCTTCTGTGTACCTTAGATGACATTTCAGTTGCAAATATATGTCAAATTCTTTTCGCTTTCATGCTGCTACAGTTCCAAACGGGTAAGGAAGAACACGAAGAGAACGATTGGGGAATTTGCAGGTTGAAAGAATTCCTACTCGGCAAGCAAATAGACAACATGGATTACACAATCAATTCTGAATAATTGCAAGCCTAATGAGAGCCCTCTTGTTGCACTAAGAATACACAGGTGTTTCATTCTACCCTAGCATTCTGCTCAACAGTTTCAACATAAGGCTGGCGTTAAATGCCATTGGCAGCATACAACCCAGCATATAGAATTCCTATCCTCGACCACTTCTAACAACTTAATACATTTACAAAAATGATTATGCACCATCACCCAAAAACTTTACAGAAAAGCATTAGTTTAAATACGTATTGCATTATTAGAAAGGCCCCTACACCTCTAGAGAAGTCATCTACTGTGGTAAAAAAAAGCTCCCAAATGTGTGCATAAATCGAAACAAAATATTTCGTGCTCTACTAACTCTATTAGGAAAGTGATTCTTTGTTTTGCGAAACAACGACCCCAAACTGCACTCCTATTTACGGCTCCAGATACGGTCAGTATGAGTAACCAAATTTCAGTCATAAGATTTAATTGGCCCAAAAAATTCAGATCTAAATATAGAGAATTTTCGGATCATTTTCCACAAATCGTCGATGAGTTGCGTTGAGAAAGAACGAAATGGGAAAATAATAAAAAGTTATTGGATCTGTCCTCCTATCTTTGCTTTTATTAATATTTGTTCTTTATTATTATTTGTCCTTTTTCTTATTTGAGTTTATTGAAAACAATTCTATCAATCCAAGCTAGCAAAATCAGTGCAAAAACTCCACGTGAACATATTCTTTAGTACAGTCAGCAGTATTAACTATGGGCTAAGATCAGGTGACTAGGTGGGTTCCTTAATCATGTGACTAAGTGAATATCGACTCTTTCATCTCATTAAAATCCAATGGTCCTGATTAATCCAATATAATGAAAGGCAATGTAGTAATTTGATTATTTAATTTTTATTTACCAATTAATATAAATAAAAATACAGCCCGACGCTTGACTACCGCCGCGGTAGCTGGCATCCGCTTCCTTCTCCGGCGGCCTGGCCATTTTTTCCAGAGAGGTTCGACCCACTCCCGCCGGCCGATCCTTCTCTTCGATGGCGTGGAAATAATTTGCAGGCATCGTGACCATTTCCCAGGGGGAGGGTGGCAATTTTTTCCCAAGGAATTCTCCCAACTAGAGAGAGAGAGATCTTTTCCGACGCCGGCAATAATTCCTCGGCGCCGACGAGATTTTCCGACGGCAGCGGGAGTTTTGTAATGTTTGTCGTTCTATTTTGTAATATTTGTAAGTCTGGTTTGTAATGTATACAGACAACTCGGTTTGTATTGTTTGTCATTTTTGTCTATTATGTTTTGTACTGTTTTTATGTTTGTATGGTTTGTACTGATTGCAAGTCCGGTTTGTATGCTTCGTAATTTTCCATAATACCCAAATTACCCCTGTCATTAATTAAATAGGTCTTTCCACTTTTTAACCTTTAGATTGTTGTATTCAGATCTAAGGGCTGAGAGGGGGTTAGTCAAGTGAATAAGCACCCCTTAGTCACCGGATCCTCATCTGTTAACTATTAACTGCTCCATTAATTGACAGATATTATGGATAAAATGACTAGATTTTTCATTATGAACAAAAATAGCCATGATTTTCACAATGGTAAAAGATTTGACTTATTATTGTAATTTGTATGCATAGGTGATAGGTGACAGAAAAGAATATTTATTTATGTAGATCAAAACACAATTACACCCGATGAGCTGTTAGAAAGAAAGAAAGAAAGAAAGCTACTTTTTTCCCCAGCCAGTATATGCTGTAATAACAAGTTCTACGTATGTTAAAAGAAGCCAAAGCTTTTCGGAGAACCTCAATTCAAACAAACACAAAAAGAAGCAGAGTAGCTAGCCACAAGTGTTGAGATGGATTGCCGGGATGTTCTAAGGATGTCGGTTGAAGACGAGGCCAGCTCCATACCTAGCCGCAACGAAGCGCTGAAACAGCGCCAAGGCATTGCTAGCAGTCTCGGCCACATTCATAACCTTCGCCTTAATCGTCGCCCTTAGTTTGCTCATCTTCTTCCCACGAAACTCATCCAAGCACGTATACGCGTCCGTCTGGGCAGCGCTGATCCAGCTCTCGATGTTCCTGACGTGCCAATACGCTTCCCCTCTCCCTCTCCACAAGCCACGGAGCTCCAAGATGGACCTGCTGAGCTGATTCACCCCATCGGCTAACTGCTCCAGGCAGTCCTGCACCACCAGATGCTCCCTGCTGGGTCTCAGCGACTTGAGCTCCTGCACCACTTTGATGAGGAAGGATCTCGTGACCCTCGCCCTGTAGAGGCTCACTGATAGAGCGATCCGTGCCAGGTGCTCAGGGGTCTGATGAGCTGTTGAGTTTGCAAAGGTCGACAGGCACTGGACGCAAAGGGTTGGATAGCGAGTGGCGTCGCATTGTTTCTCGATGTAAGACTTGGGGGGCACTGGCTCGACGGAGAGTACTGGAAATGGAGCAGAGAGGAGCGTGGGAAGGAGGAGGATTAGGAAGGGAATGGGGAGATGGGTTGTCATTGTAGTGTACAAGATCTCTATTTCGTAGGAGATGGATGTATTTAAGGAAGAGAGATTCACATGGGTTGAGGGGCATTAAATTGAGTCACGGGTAAGATGCATACAATAATCATATTTTGTGGCCGATCAGCAAAGCAAAGCAAGCAACTAAGAAAGATACGATCTGAGATTATTTGTTTATTCTAAAACAGATAATAAACTAAGAACGGCTTCAAGAGATGGGAAGATAATGCTTAGCTTTGCTTGTTCCAAGGAAAGAGCAGAGAGCATCCTTGGAGGTGCAGCCACTGAGGTCAACTGTTTAAGCCGTTGCCATTTGAATTGGAGGGAGGGTGGGTGGGTGATGAATCAATGGCCTTTGCCTGCGGGTTAGCAAACCAAGTGCCAGAAATCAAGGTGCTAAGAATTCTCGACAATCATGTGGCCGGAAAGGAGAGTACTCTTCCAGCAAACTGTTCCAAGTCGTCACCTTTCAGAGGTCACACCCGCAAATTATGCTTAGTTTACCGCATTCTGGACAAGCTTGAAAAGGAAGCCAGGGATGATTTTCATTTCATCTCGATTACAGAAGATTCAACAGATACAAACTATGTAGAAACAAGGGAAGCAACTACACCACTGCTGCCTTTACCCGCCGACATGGGTGGAGTACCAAGTTGCAGACAGAAAACGCAGACCAGCTAGAGGCCACAAGGGATAGCAATACCAAGGACAATAACCATATGCCTATGATCATTCAGCAACCTTCATGCCTGTAAGATACACACGGCTCTGAATCACGGTCCCTCCTACCCAGAAACCAGGCATCACCATGAGACCAACTTTGGGTTTCTGGCTGCCCTCGTCTAGTATCAGATTCTTCACAACGCTTTCCATGTAGACCTCGGTGAACTCGCTCCCTCGCTTGACTTGAAAGACCTTCACGTTGGCATCAAAGGAGTAAGCCAGCCTGTGCAGAAGCCAGATCGACTTGGCTAATTTTAGAAACACTTGGTAAAAGGCAGTCCTTGGATGTCCTCCACCCATCACGTAGTTTCTCTGATCCAGGTTCCCGAAGAAAGAAGCCTCCATCTTTGGATGAACCACCGCCAAATACTTGCTCCTGCAAAATCTCCCAAATAAGGAGTCTGGATTCTGACCCACCACATCCAATGGATCCATCTCCCTCAGTGCGAGAAACTGGTGGAAGAAACTCTCCTTTGAGACCGTTATATCGTTGACATTAATAGCAAAGTTCTCCTGCTGGAAACCACTGAACATCTTCTGACATATATGAGATTCAAATGCATACTTCTTGTGCGCTCTCCTTGCATAAACGACACTCGGCTCGATGGACCCAGCTGCAGCATCGAGATCCCACCCTGCTGCTTTCATCATGTTAATCAGCGGCTTGGAGAAATCATGAATGGCTTTATAAGCAGCTTCTACTGCAGATGTGAATAGTTCTGGGGTTAGATCCACGTGGAAGAACCCGTTTTCTTCTTCAGAACCTTTGGTAGTCGATGATGATAAGCCTCTGAGCTTGAGGTTTTTCTCCAATTTCGATCTCTTCTGATTTGCCTCCTCTATCTGCTGCTGCAACTGATGAAGCTCAGAATCCTTGTTGTGGATTTCCGATTGGAATTTCTTTACCATTACCTCATAGGTTTTCAAGAGAGACTGCTGTTCTTGAATTTCAGCCGCTAAGCGGGAGTCCTGAGGGGAGACACTCAGCGGCCTGGGATTGTTTTCTCTGTAGTAATGCTTCAGTTCAGACAGGTTCTTCAGCTCAGCAATAACAAGTTTATCAGCAGCTTGGATCTTATCAGGGTCATACGGAGTATGAGCAGCTTGGAGTTGGATGTAAGCTGACTTGAGAGAAGATATGTTTTGAAAGATTTTAGATATCAAGGTTTCAAGGGCTTCTGGATTTTGATGCACAGAATCTTCCATTGGTTGAGGGTGGACCTTCTGGCTGTTGCTCTCGCGGAGTTGATTATCTTTCGAACCAGAGTGTAGCATAGCTGCTACCAAGCGAATCTGGAGGTACGGACCACTCTTTCAGAAGAAACACTAGTGTTGCACAACCTGCAAGCTCCCGAGAAAAGTGTTAGCTAAGTGTACAAGTATCACAAGAATAGTTGAGTGCAACTCACATATATTTGGTACAAACATCTCAACCAGGTCTGCAGAGACATACTGGATAGCAAGCTAAAGGTGAAACAGCACATGACAGGTGACCTTCCAAACATTAGAAGTTGACAATTAGAGGGATGCATATATCAATTCTCTTCATTCTGTTAAGATGAGACATAAATTTCCAGTGGGGAAATGAAACTGCGGGGTACTACTGCTAATGGTTAAATTTAGACACAGATCAAACTAAAAGCTTTCCTGTCATGCAACAAAGGAGCATATCGATCCTCCGGAGTAACCATTGTTCAAAAGTTCTCCAAGGAGAGGCCCTGAAGATCTACTGATAGAGCAACTTGGCAATTTATTCACCTGTCAAGCGGACAAACTCCTCCTGAAGTACATCTAGCAAACATAATAGTCTTCCACCTGCAAAAGAAAAGAAAAAATGCAAAAGAAGCAATTAGACTACTATGCCTTGTATGACACAATCTCTAGTGCACAAATCTGTAACGCAATAGGAGATGGCCAGTGTATCTCAATCGTTTCACAATGCCATGGATTGCCCTAAAGTGTAGTAAAGACATCTATTTCTATCAAGAAACTTGAAAACCAACTGTCATATCTTGAAAGATTCAGAGCCACCTCCAGAAATTTTGAAACGAAAAGCAGGGAGGGAAAGTTCACTCTGGCCACCTACCAAGTCGAGAAAAGATCTCTGGGACACCAAAAAGCAAGCATGAATCATCCAGTAAAGCGAAGATCACAATAGTCAATACATAGAACTATGTATATCTCAACGACCCCCAAACACAAACAGGACTTCGGCTGGCTTCACTAAAAGTCCAGCGATAACATTTATAAGGAAACACCCGGCTGGTTACCAACCTCCTACTCCAAAAGAATCATTCTGACAGTACAAATCAAGTTCATCACTTGAAGAATCGCAATTCAGATCAAAGCACCCATTGACACATTCAGACAAAGATGACCCACTCAATCAATTACTAAGTGTACCCACTCTTTCAACACATCTCGGAACATTGAAACGAAATAACATCAAGCAATTGGGAAAGAACTCCGAAAATTCGCACCAAGGAATCGAGGAAATCAAAACGCAACAAAAGAAAAAGAGAAATGCGACGAAGCCAAATACAATCTAGGGAGCTGAAAGAAATTAGGCCTCAGATTCTTCGCAGAAAACAGAACGGAGGAGATCGAGAAGCATACCTGATTGGAGAAGATGCCAGTAGAGTGTTTGTGCGGATGGATGGATGGATGGATGGATGATAATGCAACTTGCGACTTGCGAGGTCGAAGAAGAATTGTTTTGGTAAAGTTATGTTTGCAATCGACAAAAATAAGAATAAACCCTAACTAGGGGACACGGCTCCCAGATTTTGTATATTAGTAAAAAAAACATGGGGTTTTTTCATAAATATTGTAAATTTGTAATTAAAAAAAATCTGAATATTATGGTTCATAAAATATTTCTCGATTTACTACCATAAGAAATTGATTGGGGCGCGGTTTAAGAAAAATAAAAAATCGAATTGAGGATTGAAGAGCATTTAGAAAAGATATAAAGTCGAATTGTGGCATACACCTTATTTGTGTATCTCTTTTTCATAAAAGAAATTTGAAACTAGAATAAGCCCAAGTGGCTCGATTTCATTATATTTCATCCATATTCCAATTTTATTGATTTAATATCCTCTTTCTTTTGGTGTCATTGACGGATTGACATTAAAGATGTCGTTTCTACTCTATCTATTTCTATTTCTATTTTCATATTCTAACGAAAGAACACACATTTGAGCGTATCTATTTATTTATTTTTTATCGTAATATCTATTTATTTTATTAGGGAATAATCTCCTTGTCTAAGGTATCAAGAAGGAAAAGAGGAGGCCTGATAACCTAACACTCTTGGGCTTTCTAGTTACAATTTATGTGGGCCATAATATGGGCTACTGAGCTACACGCTCTTTTGGCAAAATGCAACTGTATAGACCCCATCCTATCTGCTTCTTCTTTCAGCTCTCGAACAAAAACTCAACTCTCCATTCTTGTTTGCTCCGACTTCTGTAACGCAAGGAATGTGGGTTGGCAGTCTGTTGTTGGGACTTTTTAGGGACGAGGGTATACGTACGATAGCCCGAGACCGGGTGACTAGGATTATGATAGAGTCGTGAACAACGTTCACTTTCCGTAAAGAATATTTCCACCCTCAACAAGTCTAGGGTTGCAGGAAATTTCTTCGTACGATAAAACTATCACCAATGTGTAATATAAATGGTTATCCTACTGTCATTTTTGTATAAAAATATAAATGGTAGGTTGGGTAATTCAAATCTAGAACACTATTATTATTAATAAACTTAATTTTCGTTGAGCTACAACTCATTTGGTGTTCGATTTTGAACAATGTGTAATAGTAAAAAGTCATTCCCTATCTCTAATTATTTCAATCTAAACTAATTTCAATCTACCCTTAATTTGTATTGATTTTATGATTGTACGACAAGTTTTTCGAAGAGTCTTTCAGCTTTGGGTTACATCAAGAACAAGTTTACAAATCGAATATGCGATAAGTTCCTGAATGATTGTCTAGTAGGGTATATAGAGAATTTTTTTTTTTTGACACAATAAACACCAAGTGTATTCTACAATTATTTACGATTTTATTTTTATTAATTATTTTTATTTTTATTAAATTTATTTTTTAAAAGAGGACACCCCTATGAAAAATTTCTGGGTCCGCCACTGCATATGTATACTATATTAGTATTATACATTGTCTCAATTTTTAGTTATTCATTATCAATGTTTGTTAACTTGCAATAGTCGTGGAGTATAAATATTATTAACTCTAAAGAAAAATAAGATTAATAGTTTATAATTCGGGTAGTTTTCTCATTTCGCCTCCCACTTAACAAAAATTGGATGGTTATTGGACGAAAGGGTATTATTTTTTACATTGTGGGAATAGAATGGCATGATGGTGCAAAAAATAGGATATGTGTATGTTTATTAACTTGCAATAGTACAAGGGCATAACATGCTATTCACCCTTTACGAAATGAAAAAATTGCTTTGCATAGATTTAGAACGAAAAACTTTTTCTTAAAAGACTATATATATTATAATATAGTAATTATTCAGGTCAATCAGGCGGGTTCGGGTTAGTCAGATTTGGGTCAATCAGGTTAGGGGTTAATCGACTTGCTGGTTAGTCGGGTTACGGGTCGGGCGAGTTGCGGGTCATTGACTTTTAGTAAATTCGGGTTGTAGGCGGTTGCGGGTCGGGTTTATCGGATGGGTTACACGGGTCGGGTTCTGTTTTGACATCTATACTTAGCATCCGATATCCACCTATGGAGGCTTACACTTTTGAAATCAAGACCAGTCTCATCACCATGATCTAAAGCAACATCTAGTTTCATGGACTTGAAAATTAGTCACCAAGAAAACATATCAACGGTTCTATGAGTGGACGGATGGTATAAAGATGAATGAAGTGCCACAAGAAGCACTTAGGTTGAGCCTTTTTTTTTTTTGGTAGAAGGTTGAGCCTTTTTTTAATACTCCTTAAGTGACAAGGCAAAAAGTTGTCTCAATAAGCGACCTCATCTCTCGATTGTCTTTTGGGATGACTTGTCGATAAAGTTCATGGTAAGGTACTTCTCGCATTCCAAGATAGCGGAGTTTTGAAGGAAGACCACTCACTTTGTTCAAGAGGAATATGAAACCTTGAGAGATCCTTAAGAGTGCTATACTGACCTCTTCCTTTAATTCCCTCACCACGGTTACGATGGAGATTTCAAGAATGGAACCTTTTACAACGGTCTCTTCCAAGAAGATCATATGATCATCGATTCCTTGTGTCAAGGGAACATGCTCAATAAGAAACTCCTGCAAATGATCGAGTTATTCGAAGAAATAGCCCGAAGGGGTATGATTGGGGCATGACAAGGAGAGGAAGGCGGACTCATAGGAAAGGAGTGCATGCTACCGAGGCAAGACCTTCACTTGAGGCAAAGACGGATGGGTTGATCAAGGTATTGTTGAAGGATAGAAGTCAAGGCAAGAGACTAGTGATGGTTTGTGAATGGTGCGCAAGTCCCAACCACACGTTGGAGGAATTCCAAGTTACGATGGAGGCGAATACCCTGGAGGAGCAAGTTAACTTCATTGTGAATGCTAGGGGAAACAACAACAAATCCCCCTATAGCAACACAACCAACCCAGGATGGCACAACCATGCGAACTTTTCATGGGCATCACCGGCTACTCTGAGATCCCCATGTTTTGAAGGGCCTAGTGGTGGATATCAACCAAGACTCCCATTTTCTCAACCAAGGTATCAATTTCAAGAAACATACTTTCATTTGCAACAATATCAACCACAAAGCGGGAAAGGGTATCAACAACCCGATAAGATCTCCAAGCTCGAAGATTTTGTGACCCAGGCCATTAAGACTGCTCTGCTCTTATGGTGGAGATAGGTTCAGGAAGGATAATATAAGATTAATCACCTCTTCCATCACAAGCTTCACAGACTCGTTTATGACATTCATTAACCTGTCATCATTCACACCACAATCTATGATCTCTTGTACATGAGCATCACCAAGATCAGTTAGAACTCATGGGACATGTAATTATTTCCTTGCATTTAGCCCACACACCACATCATATCATATGAACATTTCTAACCAACCAACAAACATATTACAACACTTCCCAGATGAGAAATTCACTTGTGAGGTACCATTCCCTAATTAATTCTGACCCATATGAGAGTATGGGATGAGTAATAAAAGCAGTCACACGAATATATGTAATTAAGGGGAGACAAGGGCAAGCAAAAATTCAGATCCCACTTGATTTCCACAATCTTGGATAGGAGATTTAGACATCACATAATTGCCAAATTGCTATAGGGAAAAGGATTTTCTTTAGCAGCAGAAGGAAAGGTAAGAGGGAGTTGAACTACCTACCTTTTTCTGTAGTTGAGTTAGTCCGATCACACCATATGGCCTCCCTTATTCGAGGAGGAGAAAAATTTGGGCCTTGAAGGAATGAAGAGTTATGCCTCAATAACACTCCAATCAGAGATGCAGATGCTACGACCCCTCCCAAAGCACACAAAAGCTCTGCCTGTACCAAAATCTAGCATTCAAACGTTACAAACCCTATAACATGGTTATAAGTTAGTACTAATATCTCTTAATTCACACAAGAGCAAGATCTTCTTCTTCTCCTTCCACCATCTTTAGCCTGCCTCTCGACCAACAGAACGAAAATGTCATCGTTCGGAGTGTACCTTGAGCTTGGCTCTCTCGCGAATCAAAATGAGGGAAGAATCTATGACTCGACTTTGGCCGTTCTCGACCAACTCATTGGGAATATTGGCGGCTTTCAGTCACTCAAGCTAGTGCACCCCTCTCCGGCAAATTGTCGACATTTTTGAAGCTTGGAAATAAAAATGCACGACATGAAAAACAAATTGTTATATTGATATATATAATATACACAATATAATACATTCAATTTCTGCAGCGCAGACATTAAGGTAAGGAAAATATAAATGGAAGGAAAAACATCCATATCTCTTACCTCGAGAAGAAGAAATCTTGGAAGAGGAGATTGCTAGAGTATTGATTGAGGGAGCAGAGAGCAGATGATTCTTAAAAATGGTCATCAAGGAACAACTCGCTGGACATAGCAGTCGACAACAGGGGCAGCGAGCGACCAGTAAATTAGGTTCGTGGAAGCAGAAAAAGCCAAGCCCCAACCGAAACGACAACAGTCTCTCAGTCACCGTTCCACTATTAGCTAAAATAAATGAAGCAGTATTGTGTTGTCTAGGCTAGACTATTGGCATTACCATGTGAAAAGGACGACACTGTCAGTCAGTCGCACGAAACAATGCTGACTTGGTGATCACTCACGGAGCGTCGGGTGGAAAACTTAAAACAAGAATGATAATAATAATTGCCCACTCAGTATTCAGCTTTCCAAAGTGGGCAAGGTAGTGTTTACGCACATCGATGTGAGTGTCTTGTTAGTGTGGGTCAAGTGACCGAGTCGGGATTTGAAGCGACCAATCAACACATAACCCAAACCGTTCCAACTACAATAAGGGATGGTAGTATGCGGTCAGGGCCTCAGGAGTTCCATAAGAAGAATGAGAATATGGGCTAAATATGGTTTGTGAAATCATATTGGAATTTGTTATCATTTTGTGTATAGTATGTTGTTGTTATACAATGAGCAATCCAATTGAACCAACACCAAACGGTATTTCACAGTTCGATCGAAAATACAAGCCGACATGACATTTGAGGGAGGCTGAGCATATCGTCCCGAAAAAGACTCCAGTATTTTATGTGAAAATCTGACAATAAACCATTACACATATTTAGAAAAAACTTCAAATCTCGACACCACAACTCAGTTACCACGTCTGCTGATTTGGGTGCCTCTCTAGGAGATCTTCGACATCTTTCCTTCCAGATAAAAGTAATCAAAGAAAACCATAGCAGAGCAATGATTCACCCCATTGTTGAATTCTGTTGTGACTACACTTCAGCTTAAAACCAATTTGAGATCCTAGTTTGAGCTGCAAAATAGATTTCCCATTTTATTCACTAGGGATCTAGAACAATAAGATTCAAAGAAAAAATGATCCCTCATGTCAGTCCTAGAGCTACAAAACACACACATGTATCTTCACTTATCTTCCCCCACGAACCAACTTTGCTTTTGTAGCCATTGCATCCATCACCGTTATCATACTTGGTCAAATTCCCATGCGGGTCGTGTCAATTGTTTGCACGGCCTAACTAACTACCCCATTCCGAGCTAAGTATAACTTGAAATCGCGTTGCTAATAAAGTGGTGGCCGATGTCGTATTCCATGGGTTTCGATACCCTAGACTACTTCTCACGTTTTTTTGTTGTTGTTATCTAGCCAATATGTTTAGTTGGGTTTTTGGAGGTCATTTGAAAATACTAGTGGAGAAAGCAAGGATACAAAGCAGGTACTTTGGGGTAACTTAGGTTTGTCATAAAAATGGCTAACTATTTTGGGTTAGCATGATAAGGTGCGAAACTCGCTAAGTTGAGGGTTTCAATGATTATTTCGCCTCCTCCTAGTACGCTCCCAGAGGCCCATTGTCACCTCAGTCAAATATCACATCCTAAGGAATGATCAGTAGTTCCTCTCAATAGGTTCAACCTATCAAGCACACTAAATTGATGGATTGATGACGCTTGCATCATCTCTAGCATTTTTCAGGAAGGCATTTCTCTAGCAGGGGTTCGGTCGCATTGTCCACTAAAAGGAACCCTAAGAACATTCATCTACCTCCAATTAGCCTTAAGGCGCTCAAATCCAGTCTAACCCTAAGATTCCCCACCTAGTTCTCAGACTCGGTTGTAGGCTAGTAGGGAAGAGTTGGAGAGACAAGACATAGCATAATCAAGCATAAATGAAGCATATTAATCACTGAAACAAACAAATCCACACACAAACCCTAACACAATTACATCTACATTCAAAACCTAACTCTAGGGTTTGAGGTTTTTACCCTAGTACCTTAGAGGACTACTCCATAAAGGTGGGAACAAGATACATGTAAAGAAATAGAAGAAGATTTGAATTGGGAGAGCTCCCTTCCTCCTTGACTCATCCTTCTTCTTCGTCCTTCAACTTCTCTCTCTCAAACCAAAATTTTCACAATTGATTTCTGCTCGTTGTCAGCAATCTTCAACACGGGCACCACTACTGCTTGTTGCATCTGTGATATCAAACGTTGGTGTTGATCCACACGTCATTCATGCAACTCAATCTTCGATACTAGATCGCGTACGCCAAGATGTGATAGATATGAATAGAGAGCTGGACAAGTGGACAATTGATGTTTGATTTTTTTAAATGACAAGCGTGCCCTTCCCTCCAATAAGGTTTGAATTGTGGTCAACTACTTAAGTAAAGAAGTCAGCTAATTCGAGACTTCCTATTTATTGGAGGATGTTGTCAACACCATATTTAAAAATTGGGTGTTAGCACACTAACCCCCTCTTATGCCATACACAATCGGGGTATATATGGGTCTGGTGATCCGGGTTTAACCATTTTAATCACCCGGCCCATGCACTACGATTTTGAAAATATTAAATACGAATCCATCCTTAAAAATTAGAACTCTACGATTTGTTTATAATTGAGTTGGGTCGGGTTGGCCATACTTTTAAGCAAAAACCCAAGCTAACACGAAGAAAAAAAAAATTATTCTACACCACACAAATATTATCAAAGTAATTAAATTTAAGTTGAATAAAGCGAGGTTAAAAGTATAAAATGAATAGGTGTTATTTGGTTTTTAATAAAATGTGATTTGCTTCAACATAAGTCTAGTCCAAAATAAGCTAAAGAGGTTATAAATGAACGCATCAATAATATGTTATTCTCTTAAAATTGTACACAAGAGAAAAGATTATGTGAATCATAGTCTATATTAAATCTACGACTAAATTTTAAGTCGAATAATGCATTAAGAATATGACAAAATGCCTTTTAGGGGTCGTTTGGATGCGGAATTCTAATTGATCAATCTGGTACAATTGTCTCATAAATATATGTTTTGGATAAGAACACTCATGTCAATAGCCGAAGCACGGGTTGACTTCTATGGCTTGTGTAACCCAAAATCCACACCCAACCCAAAAGAGCCGAGCTGTACAAAAGAAAACTCTCATCCAACATTAAATCCTAATTTGGTGATAATACGAGTGAGTTGAATCGGTTTGAACGGGTGAGTCGGCTTGCTATTTTTGTTCAACCCTAATACAGAACATGAGGATTTGAAGCTGGCCCATGTCGTGCCAGCCCAAACATGACACAACGGCCAGTTACATCGCATCCCTTCGTTGCCCTGAGCTGGATCAGTAACCGAATCGCCGTCGTCTAGGATTATTCCGGTTGGGCCTGGACCAGTTGAGCTTGACCCGAACTCAATCGACCTCTCCGTTGGCCTCTGTCTGAGATATATCAGCTATTGACGCCAAAAGGCGCTCATTTGCCAGCGCCCGGTGAGCCGCACGAAAAGAGAGAACGAGATATGGATCCATGGAAGCTTCCCATATCGTCGGCGATCCAGAGGAAGAGGCTACTATCACAAAGCTACACCTCCCACGCTTCTGCCTCTCCGTCAGATCTTGCTTGCGGTAGTTTAATTTCCTTTCAGCAATGCAACCCTCTTTTTCGTTCAATTTTGAATCTCCAGTTATCAATTGCCGCTCGATTTAGAAACGCACCTGCCAAGTGTTCGATGTTATTTCCCTGTGGCTTGGGCCGCGATAATACACAACACTCGATTTTTATAGCTGACCAATACACTATTTCCTCAACCATTTTACGAGTTACCCTATATTTTCTCTTGTGTGTTCTCCCATTGTAACAACTTAGAAGAGCCTGCTGGTGGCAATGGGGGTTGTCGAGTTGGATGAATCTTGAAAGCCCTATCTGTAGCTGACAGAGCCTCCGATGTTATTTACCTCCTATTGATTGAACCTCAAGTGATAACATCTAAATTTAGTGTTTTCTCTTTTTTGTTTGTGATAGGTGCACAGAATGCCTGGGATATTCTTCTGGAAGAGGAATCAATGACCCGCATTACCACATCTTGTGCAGAACTTGACAAAATTCTTGGTGGAGGAATAAGCTGCAAAGAAGTTACAGAAATTGGTTAGCAGCCTCTTAAGTTAATGTGGACGCCAATACTAAAGATATATGTTGCTGTATCTTCTATGGGTGAGAAACGTGTTTTCCTGCCTGGTCTCTGCAGGTGGCGTACCAGGCATTGGTAAAACACAGCTCGGGTACATAACGCTTTCCTTCCTTGTTATCACTTCAGCTTCAGGGGATATGTTGCGAAAGTGAATCAGAATTCTTTGTACATTAGATTGATATTTGGAATTGACAGGATTCAACTAGCCGTCAATGTTCAGATTCCATGCTATTATGGTGGTCTTGGGGGAAAAGCCATCTATATAGGTGAGTTAGGGCATTCAGATGTTCTCTGCTCTACTTCTGTAGCACCTGAAATAATGATGGTGTGCTTTTTAGTACTGCTTAGATACGGAAGGAAGTTTCATGGTGGAACGCGTACTACAAATTGCTGAAGCATGCACAGAGGACATGGCAGAATATGGGAGGTTCTTAGGAAAAAGTATTCAAGCTCGCCAAGTGGAGATGGGACCCAAGGATTTCCTGGAGAACATATACTACTTCCGTGTCTGCAGTTACACGGAGCAAATTGGGTTGGAAAATTACCTGGACAAGTTTATCTCAGAGCACCGAGATGTAAGTATGACTTCTTCATTACCGCACATTTAGGAAATTTTGCTATCTAGCTATGACGCTGAACTGGGTGGCGTCAGCTTAAATTGCACTCCAGCATGATCTCTGTCCATCTCATATTTCTATTTTAATTATGAACTTTCGCTTTAGTTAGTTTGCGAGCCGTCGGCTGAGGAGTATTTGCCGATAGGCTCAAGGGAGCCGGTAGGGCAGTTGAGGAAACAACTATTCGGCCAGGGTTAGCCGACCTGAATTAGTGCTAGGACTATGCATACGCGTGACAGCAGTATTAACTCGACTCGTGACTGACGAGTCTCTCTCAATCTCTGCCAACCGCTTGGTGACAATTTGTTAAATAACGTCACCTTAGGTAATGAAGAACTGAAATTACGTGTGGAATCATTCAAAGACGTCAGCTTATATTCAGCTTCCACTTCTTTTCCTTCAGCCTTAAAATCGGTTGACATTTAGGAGTCCCTATGTGGGTTGATGCTTCCTTGTGTGCATGCCTTTATCTTCTGTCTTCTTCTTGGAAATTAGTCCCATGTCTTTGGATCTTATCCAGTGATCCAGTCTGAAATATGTTGTATGTCGTCTAGCATACTGCTCTCTGTCTGGAAATTTCACCCGCTTGGAAAGTTTTGCATACTGCTTTGGTGTTCCTCTACTTCATTGCCTCTCACAGTCACAATGGCATTTGGCTTACTGATTGTCAGCTGTGACTAACAGGTTAAGATCATTGTCATAGACAGTGTTGCTTTCCAGTTCCGTCAAGATTTTGATGACTTAGCTCAGAGAACGAGGGTACTTAGTGCAATGGCATTGAAGCTGATGAAACTTGCCAAAAAGTTCAGTTTAGCGGTATGCAATTCCTGGGTTAAGTTTCCATTCAAACCATGAATCAAGACATAGAGTTACATATTCTCAATTGCAAGAGACTGAGGCAAAATGCAAAGGCAATCTGCCTACTAGCTTTTCTGGTTTCCTTATGCAACTAATTGGTGGCATTTTGTTTACAGGTTGTTTTGCTGAATCAGGTGACGACGAAAGTCATAGAAGGTTCATTCCAATTAGCTCTTGCACTAGGTATATGTGTTGGTTCTCCCAACTCCGAGATGTAGTAATTGGTTTATGTTTCCCTTGTTCACGAAGCCCTCTTAGCGCTGAAGTTGTGGTGATGGTGAGCAGGTGATAGCTGGTCACATTCTTGTACCAATCGCCTAATCCTTTACTGGAACGGGGACGAAAGGTATGCCTACATCGACAAGTCACCTTCTCTAAGGTCAGCATCAGCTCCATATTCTGTCACCAGCAGAGGAATCCGGAATTCCTCTTCCAACAGCTAGCGTACTAGGTCAATGTGATGTTTACTTACGCGCATCTTTTGGTGGTGTTGAGACTGAAGTAATTGAAATGGCCCTTCAGTTTTCATTTTGGCTTAAACAGCTTCTACGTAAGGAAGGTGTTACGAGCAAGGAGCCTATTTCTAGGTGCCTGTGTTTTGCTTTGCCTGTTTGGTTTCCTCAAGAGGTGATTCGTTAATTGTTACCGTTGCCTCAAACATGGTATCCAGAATTATTTATGTACTGTAAGTGGCGCAAGCAGCCCCTCTACAAATATAATATGTGTAGTTTGGACGAGTGTTTTGAATGAGTTATTTTGACCCAAATAACTTATTAATAACTCGTTTGGCAATTGATTTGACTGATGTAGTATGGTGAGCTGCAAATAACGCATAAACGCGGTAATCTAAATAGCACCAAGTAGAGGTGTTCAAACGGATTGGTTACCGTGGTAACCATATTAACCAGTAGTATTCGGTTAATTTGATATGGTTAATTTGGATAATTGGTTTGATTTGGTTAAATAATTTAGCTTGTTTGGTTTAGGTTGTTTGGTTTGGTTTCAATTTTGCTAACCAATGAAACCAATTAACCAAATAAATAATTAATGATAATCTCCACTTTTCAGTCTCCACTACCATCAAGTGGGCCTCTCTCAACACCAAACAAAACCAAACGTTTGGTTTCCCTCTGTCATCAATCCCCATTTCCAATTCCCACTCCCCAGAACATTGAACCCTAGATTGAGAGGGAGAGAGAGACAATCAAATACAAATATTTCCATTCATAACTCTTCTATAATGGTATCTGAATCAAAATTCAAATGAATACATGATGCCTTCTTGATTTTATTTGAGTGGTATTTGTTAATCTTATTCTTGTTTCTGTCAAGTGCTATATGTAATGATAACTAATTATGTTTATTTTGTTGATTTTTCAAGCAGATGGGAACTAACTAACGTAGGCATGGCATTGCATATTGGCAGTAGCTCTTTTTGTACAGGTTTTTTAACAGCTACTAGACTTTTTTTTGGATCACGTATAATACCATGACAGCCAGCTCATCTCAAACTATGTATAGTTTAAGTGTTTTGTAGGAAGAGATTTTAACTTCCTGATGAGGGGTATCTGTATGAATTTATGTTAAGGGTTTGTTGTAAGTTAACTATACTAGGTGCAGATATGATGAATGATATATTAACTCGAATGATAATGATATGTTTTCATGTAATGTTATGTTATTTGGTTAATCCGATTATCTGATTAACCAAACCAATTAAACTTTGGTTTGGTTAATTTGGTTTTCGTGTTAATTTGGACGGTTTGGTTAAGACATTTTATTCCATGGTTAATGAAGTTTAGGCTTAATTGGTTTGGTTATAACCACGGTAACCATTTGAACACCCCTAGTACCTAGGGGCTGTTATTTGGAAATAACGGGTTCTACATGTTTCTCTTTCCAACTCTGTCCCTACTTTTTCTCTTACTTCGTCTACTTTTTATTCATCTCCTCCATCGATGCATACCACTCTAGACTCTACCTCTCTTTTCTTCTCCTCTTCCCTTTCCTCCACAATTTGCCGGGATTTTTCCAATAATGGCATCTATTAAAAAAAATTACAAAAATAGCACCCATCCCACAACATTTACAAAAATAGCACCATTTTTATCAAACTGCACCTCCAAGGTGCGTTTTATAAATAAACCGCACCTTGGAGGTGCGTTTTAGTCCACCTCATACTGAAAACCGCACCTTGGAGGTACGATCAATGTTTGGTGGGCAGCGGCCTTGCGGACCGTAGGATGAAGAAGCGATCCAGTGGCAGACCACTTGCTAGGTCAGCGATCCTTGCCACGGATCGAAGACCGCTGCGCCGAGGTGCGGTCAAGTATCAGGGAGCGTAAACCGCCTCGCCAAGGAGCGGTTTTGGCTGGGGCAAAATTACCAGACCGCTCCTGGAGGGTGCGGTCTGATGGGTATAAATACCCCTCCCCCCTCTCATTTTTTCACACCACAATCATTCTCCACTCTCTCTCTCTCTCTTTAGAATTATCTCTCTAACCCCTCCCCTCCCCTCCCAAAAGCCTAGGAAATAGTGGTCTGTTGGTTGCGACTAAGTCCGATCTGCCATCAGAAAACATTTCTTTGGTTTTTTCCTCAAAACCCGCCGAGCCGAGCCGAATTTCTGTCCGAATTTTGATTTTTTCCTCAAAACCCGCCGAGCCTAGCCGAATCTCTCTCCGAATTTCCCGAAAAAATGAGCGATTGGTGGCAAGGAGAGGGAGTTTATGTTGATGAATTTCTAGCGGTACGTACTCATTATTCTGGTTTAATTTTTGTTGTTGTTATAAGCTTTTTAATTAATCTATGTACTAACCTCGTTGTTATTTTCTCGTAGGTTGGGGACGACCTGGATATAAACAACCAACGGTATTATCTCGAGCAAGGACCGTTGGATCCAACCGACTTGTACGACCAACCCAACCATCGGTCAAGGGAAGTTTGGAACGATCACCCGGTACATACAATTCTTCATCATTTGTCTTTCCTTTATTTTGCTAATGTATTTTGTGGAATATAAAATAAATTTATGTTGAATTTTTAATCGTGTTGGTTGTTTTCAATAATTTAATCGAATACATAGCGCCACTTACTTGGACTCTTTATAAAGAGATGCACGTCTAAGGAAATGGGGTTTTTAGCGATTATCATATCCTCCCATTCCCTGGGAAAATCAGGTATTAAGAGATCCTCGGATCCCCCCTTGTTCTCTCCTTCTTCATCGGAGGGGTCACTAACTGGTGGTGGCAGGGCAGCTTCCATCTGATCCAGCTCATGAAAGACACCTTCATCAGCTCCATAATGGTAGTTGTGAAAACTACCGCTGCCTGATTGGAAGTTGTACTGAGGTTGGTTGGGGAGGTCCGGTTGAACTTCTTCTTCATATGACGGGAAATATTGATGATTACCTTCACCTTACTCTTGGTACTGAAAATAGGAATGAGGATCATGGTAATTTTGGTAGGGATTATCGCCATATAATTCACCTCCACCATGAATACAAGATGTTTGACCGTGTCCAGAATGAGTACCAACGCCAACGGCCGCCTCGGTGTAAACGAACATCTCGGCCTTGGAAAGATTGTTGGACCTCAAGAATTCGAGCATGGAATCTACTTCATCCTGAGTGGTTATGAGATATTCCTCATGCCACAATGACCCACTTTCTCTATTTGGATATCGGTACACCATACGATCAACTCTTCTCGTGCCATCCATGCAAGTAACGTTAGTGCACATTTGATGGAGGTCTTCAAGCAGCGGTCTGGTAGCGACATTTATTTTCTGAAAATTGCCACCGACGTAGGTGACCCCCTTTCCGGTCTTTTCCGTGTAACCATTCCACCTTAAGCCAAGCGTGAACTTTTGGAATGTAATCTGCAAAAAAATTGTAGTTCAGTTAATATCATAAAAATCACAAATCACAAATAACAATAAAAAGTAATATAAAATAAACTTACGAGTTAACGTTAATCGCAAAAACACTAAAGAAATATAGAGCTAGAACAGAAAATTGAAAAGGGAGAAGGAGAGGTGTGAAGAGAAGATGTTTTCCGTGTAGTCTTTTATAGGCAAAATCACTGATGAAAACCGCACCTTAAAGATGCGGTTTTCGTCTGCCATGTAGCCCCACGTCTGTTATTCTGCATGGCTATATGTCGGGTGTCGGAAAATAATTGACACACAAACCGCACTGGGGGTGCGGTTTTGTTTTGGAGAAGCAAACCTCATCTCCAAGGTGCGGTTTTGATAGGTCAGGCCAAAACCGCACCTCGGCCATGCGGTTGCGGTTTTGGCCCAGGATAATCAACCGCACCTTAGAGGTGCGGTTTATATATAAAACGCACCCTCCAGGTGCGGTTTACATATAAAACGCACCTTGGAGGTGCGGTCCATAAAAAATGGTGCTATTTTTGTAAATATTTTCGGGTGGGTGCTATTTTTGTAATTTCTTTTAAAAGGTGCTATTTCTGGAAAAATTCCCAATTTGCCTCCCCATCTCTATCTCTTCTCTCCAATGCCATCATTAGTTATCTCACCTATATCGTTGCCGATTACTTGGAATCTAACAAGACCCTAGTTTTTGGAATCGTTTGAGCTCAGCGGAGGCGCTGGTGTTGAGAATCAATATTGTCCATCTCTGTCTCTTCTCTTCCCCGCCATCATCAATACCTTCCTCTTCTCCCAGATTGTTTCGATTTTGGGAACAATGGCGAAGCTGAGAGTTGCATGCGATGGCAAGATTCTGAAAAACAACCACCATAGAGAAGTACTCACGATGATTGCCAGAGGGTCCTTTTCCTCATTCACCAACAGCAGAAGCAACAACGATAATTTTCACCCTGAGGTCTTTTGATTATTCGGGCGCGCCATCGTCGCGTCACCTTCACCAGACGCAACGACAATTGGATGGGCCAGTGTCCTCTCGTCTCCCCTGAGCCTCAGAATTTGGTAAACCGTCGACTCCTTTTAGATGTTGTAATCGGCTAGAGTCCTCCCACTCCCAGTTCCTTCCCGGCGAAAATCGGGCGAAGATTTGCATCTTTCCGGCGATTGATTTCTTCTTCAGATATGTTAGTGAGCAGCGGCAATTGGATGGGCTAGAGGGTCCTTTTACAACAGAAGCAACAACAGTGGATCGATTCATCTTGGATTGAATATGAATTGGGAGAGGTCGTGCACCTCTGTTTCTAATACTAGGATTGCTCTACCCATGGATCTAGAATTTGCAGAAGTTTTATGTTGGTTATTGCTTTTTATTTTCTTTTCTTCCGGCTTGAGTGTAGATTTGAAGGCTTGTATGAGAGAGGATGAATGGTGAAAAAAGGATACAAAGATGGAGATCATTTGGGTTTGATTCATGCTTTATTTTCTCAGGCAATTAGTATGTAGCTGGGAATTGGGATGAATTTTTGGACAAAAAGAGGGGCTTTGGAAGAAGATTAGGGAAAGTGTAATATGGTACTTTTTCGTTTTTCTAATGAAATACCATATATAAATTAACTTCTCAAACATACAAGACAATTGAAGTTAAAATACCACATTGCAATCTCAAATAACTCTCAAATACCACAAGGTAAAAAAATGCATTATTTGTTCACAAATACCACACCTCAAACAATCATCCATCCAAATGACCCCTATGTGTATATGTCGGTGGGCAGGCTTGTTTGAATGTATAATTTGATTGATTTTTGTAAATATATGTCTACATTCCCTACCCTACCCCTAACTTCAAACAAAGAGTACGAAAACTTTTGTCTATAGTCCAACATTACCTTCCATTTTGATGAGAGGATAGTACTTTTTACAGTATTTTTTTTAAGCAGAGACCCCCCGATAAGTGGGCAGTCCTATTAAAGCAACTAATCACAAAAGCACAATAAAAAAGAAAACAGTATCAAGTCGCTGAACATCATTCAGAAGAGCACCACTAGTTAGATCAATACTGTGCGAGATTGTCTTGCACTTTACGTTCAACCCTACATAGGACAAGTATACCCTAAACAAACATGAAGTATAGTAGTGACCTCTTGTTAATCAATGTCATAATCCACAAGAATGGGAAGTCCTACGGGTACTTAAAGGGTTCGATTGTTATCTAGTTGACAGTTTAAGGTTGTTTTTAGCTGAAAAACTAAAAGGAATTAAGTTAAACTAACCCAAGAGAGAGAAAGTATTTGGGGATTTCGATTCCCCCCCCCCCCCCCAACCCTAGGTTAATGGGGAATACAAGATAATATACATCGATTATTGTAATCAAGGTGCAAGAGTGTCTGAAGAGATGATTGGGTCAATGGTCATGCACCCAACTGTCCTTCTAGTTGTGGTGACCAACTCAATGACCATGTAATTGACCACCATAGCTAGGGATATGATCAATTCTTTAAATTAAGATAAGCCCACAACCACACAATCAGACAATTCAATGGTCATACAATCACCTATTTGCTCTACTTAATAGTAGCCCTAACTTTACCTAAGTGGATGTTCACCTACTTAGGTCAAGCCTCTAAATCATCATTTGCATACAATTGAGAAATGGATAAGCAATTAACACCATCAAGTAGACAAGATATACTATAATCTCAACCAATCATTCATTACATACACTAATCATACATCGGCTAAATACCAAAAGTGATACCCCATGAATAAAGAAAGAAAAACATACGGAAAGAAGAAGAATCAACATCCTAGATGTCATGATTTTGGAATAATTTAGCTCCAAACTCCAATAATTGCTCATCCTCTTCTCTCTCCTCTTGGGTGTTAGAATTTGAAAACTAATCTCCTTTGCCTTTGAAA